AAAAGAACACATAACTTACAACAAGCTTTAAAGAAAATAGACCAAATGGTATCTAATAATATATAAAATAAGATAAATGTTTGCTCAAAAACATTTTATTAAATATTAAGTTACTTAAGCATATTATGTTGTTAGCACTAGTGGTAATTAGTTTTTTCAATTAAAAAAAAATTCACATTAAGAAACTACAAATTTTATGTACATTGTCATAATGATAAGATTGTAAGAATTATTTGTGTAAAAATTTTTAATAAGTAATATGCATAAGAATTAAAACTTGTATTAAACATTTAACGATATACAAAAAAGCAGATCTATGCATGCAAGCATATCTATATGCAGAAGTTCATTGAATATTACGTGATCATCATCACATAATCGTGAACTGAGCACAGATTATAATTTCGCGATGCATATATTAACTTGAATATCTTTAATTTAGCTTTTATGATAAAGAGTTTAAACTTTGTTTGATATCTTAATTCAGGTTCGTTAAAGAGAAAAACCAGAGTTTTTATTTCAGAATTCTGAGATTTTTTTTATTTGTAGTACTCATTTTATACTTTTTATTATAAAAGCAAAATTTAAATTATTTTTGTTAATCAATAATTCCATGATTACACTATTCGTCTATTTATACTTTATCAGCAATATATGTTGTATTAACTTATGCTTTTGCAACAATTCATAAACTTTAGAGCAACCTGCTTCATAAATATCATCTTTAAAACATTAGACAAATTCTGAATTGAGATATAAGATTGCATTTTTACTGGTATATTGATCTTGCAAAACATGTGTGTGAAAAGATAGCACAAATATATAGTCAGAAATATAAATATTTAATTAGTATTCTTAAAGAACTTATAAAAATATCAAGAATCAAAATAAAATACTGTACAGTATAGTCTAAAAAACCTCTTTTTATAATACCTCTCACAATTTTCAGAGGCCTAGAATATAAAGTACCTCAGATACTAAAGACTGATTAATTGCACTTAGGAATATAAAGTACCGGGTACTAAAGATGGATTATTGCACTTAGTATATAAAATATTACTGAAGTACTCATAGAGTGCAACATATACCCAGGACCCCAAAGATCTCTGATACAACTTAGATCTGAGTTTGTATAATATTAGCCAAATAGGTGTATAAAATAGATCAAAATTTAAAATTTTACTATACAAAAAACTAATGTTTGATGAATTTCTATGCAAAATTTTCTTTTTTAGTAACCTCTGAATTATATCAGAGATCTTTGGAGTTCTATATACCCCATGCTAAATATAGTATTGCTCTGACTATAATACCTATATATACAGCTTAAATTGTGGGTATTTTAAACTATGCTATATGGTACCACCAAGCATTTGTTTCAAAATTTTTGTATCAATCTATATACTATTAGCTAGTATAAAATTCATACTGTCAAACAGTACAATTTATATAATGATTGGTTTAATAAATATTTAACAAATTGCACAATAATCCATTGTAAATAAATAATGATGTTTCAACTTACTTCTTCTGAACTGAGAGTTTTTTTGAAAATGATATTACTTAATCTTTTAAATTGAATCTATCAAATCATATACAACAGTTTTGAGTTCTTTACACAATCATTAATATCCTTATTTCCAGCCATCTATTTTTATGATGTTGGAATTAAGTAAATTTTAAATTTTATCAAGTAAATAAATGGTTCAAGTATATTTAAATTGTTAAGTTTAAATAGAGTTAAATTTAATATTATTCAATAATCAAATCGCTACGAATAAAGCACTCTGAGCATGTAATAAAAATTTGTTGCCAGATTTGAACAGATTTTAAATGTTTCTTTTATTTTTTATTCACCTGCTCACCTTTGTAAACTTATAAGTTATTGGTATATATATCAAAAAAGGTCTTACCGAATTTTATTATACATAGTTTGATAAAACTTAAATAAATATAGAAAATCAAAAATGTTTTTTAATTAAAATTTATTGTGCAACATCTGCAAAAAACAAATATATGCAAAATTTTGTTTTTGTATGCTGCATATAGTCCATATAGTAATAAATAATAATGGATTTTAAAGATCATGTGATCTATACTCCTAGTGAATTTATGTAACCTATTAAAAATATATTTTTACAAATTGCCTGCTATTATAAAATTTTAAAGAAGATTAAACCAACTAGATAATTATTTAACTTTGTTGCATTTATTGCTATATTGATATATATATATATATATATATATAAAACAAAAAAAAACCATGATATATATAATTCTTATTAAATAAATTTTTAATCCTCGATACTATCCTCTGATACCATTTAACATGCTAACTTAATAGAATCATAATTCATATTATCTATATCTCTAGACTAATTAGACAAAACAGGTTCTGAAGAAAATATTGCATCACTGGCTTTTGAAAATTCTGGCAACATTAAATTCACCAAGTCTGCAATATTTAATGTTGAATAAGAAATTTCTGAATTTACGTTTTCATCAATATTATCTAAATTATTAATATTAATATTGTTTCAAATAAATCATATACAACTATTGATATATTAATATTTTTATATAACTCCTCCTCTCCTAAATCTTTTCTATAAAGTTGAAGTTTTTTATCAGAATTTGAAAGATAATAAGAACATATTTTTGTCATATTCTCTACCTGAGAAAAACAAAATCGGGTTCGTTTGTTACCATAAAACCATATAAGTACCGAAAAATTTCTTTCGCGAAAAGACTGTGAAGGAACAATAGAAAATAAACGTAGTGCTAATTGTAAAAGCTAATCCTGATTATCATCAACGTTTATACTGAGCCACCATTTAATTGGAGTTTTACAAGCAAAATTATATTAAAGGTTGTAAGGTTTAGCCTTTCTTTTTCAAATTCGCATTTCTGTTAATAATTGATGACACGATGCTTCTGAATAATACAAATCGCTCCAAATTAATGCTGCAGTCTCATAAATTTTATCTAATACAGCCTTTTTTAAACCACAATCTGAAATTATTATATAATAATTATATATATATTAGTGCAGATTTTTATGCATTTATCATATATAGGGAGGGGAAAGCATTCTGACACATCTAAGAGTGCCAATAGTAAAAGTTCTCATAAAAATATATAATTCCTAAAATTTATTGAAATAACTAATATTTAACTTAATGTCTATCGATTAACCAAAAAAAAATTTTAAAAAACTCAATAGTTAACTTCTAAAAGATATCTAAAAACTGTTATGTTTTTTCTTAACTGAAGGTATTTTAGCGTACTATGTATATTGATATTCAGTATTGTTTTAAGTATGTGCAGATAACCCTTTTTAGATTGTACTTTGCTGATCTTGTTTCTCGAATTAGCCCAAATAGGAAAAAGGAGAAAATAATATAAGAATTATACAATAATATCTGACCTTCCCTTAAGTTATGATCGGAATTGATTAATTATTTATCATTTGATTCGTTTCAGTAAAACGAATCAAATAGTACTAAAATATATCAGTTTATCGCAAGATATTATAAAAAATATAAGTGTGCTAAAATACCTCCTCACCAGAATACCCAACCCTCCCTTACATATATATATAATATATGTATATATTACCTTTATATAAAGGATGCAGCCAATATGCAAGAATAGAAACCGGATTTACAATTTCATAAAATCGTTGATTAAAATTGATGATAATTTCCTTTTTCCACATATTAGAGTTTTCAACTCGACTAATGCTTGCTGCTAATTTAATTAAGCTAATAAAAACATCTGCTAAATTGGCCGTTTTAGCTTCCAAACAATTTGTTAGCTCTTTTACAGGTTTTAAAACCGTAGAAATTTGACGACACTTGATATAAAAATCTTCATCTTGAAGAAGATTAAATACTGTGATATTAGATATTGCTGATGCATGATTTTCTAAAATCTATACGTAATAAAATAATTATATTATACGTATTAATTATATAAATATATATGTATATATTATACGTATTAATAAGATAATATAGTTACCTAATCAAAAACTAGCTGTGATTGAACGATTGAATTCACTGTAGTAAAAAGTGTTTCCCAACGGGTTTTAATATATAGTTTAATTTCTCTACCTTTAATTTTCATAGCATAAAGTTGTTCTGAATAGTATCTATATGCAATATGAGAATTATGAAAAAAATTTAAAATTGAACCACATTTTGCAATAATATCTTTGATAGAATCTAGTTTAGTAAAATCAGATGCAAGTAAATTTGTTGCATGAGCAGCATATTGAGCTACACAAAGATTTGAACCTGAGTCTGTTACAACTGCAGTGAATTTTTCAATACCAAGTTTTTCGATAAAATTTGAAATTTCGCAGGCCATAAATTCATCCGTTTGAATAATTTTGCTATATTCTTTTAATTTAATAATATATTCTTTGCGTTTAGGAGTAGTAATAATAAAATTGTAAATTGAATCATGAGTAGGTAATGTCCACCCGTCTATAGCTATGTATGATATATATTAAAAAGTTAAATATTACATATAATTTTTTTTAAAAAAAATTATTTATTACAAAGTTCGTCAGGGCAACCACAAGTATGGGCACATGATAAGACACCACAGCTATTGCATAATTCCTTAGAAAATTGTTGAATCATATAGCAGCTTATTGCTATAAAAGTTTTTTAAAATATGTAACAAAGAAATCTACTAGTGGTTATTAAGATATGGCTGCGATAATAATTTAATATGATCGTACTTTTGGTGGACTCTATTATATACGTACTTAAAGTAAGATTTTCTTCCTTTTCCAATTAATTATCGAGTCGTTTTTCAATTCTTAAAACTTCTTGGTCTAACAAATGACCAGAAAGTTTATCTCGTGATGGAAGCTTATATCCAGGAATCGCAAGTTGAAATAAATCAATTACATAAGGATTTTCTATAGTTTCGAATGAAAAATTACTTATTACCCAAGCTTTTAAAATAGCTTGGTTTAAAGATTGTGCTCATGGTTCAGGAATTGGTTCAATTTTTTGAAAGTGGGTTGTAATTTCAGATTGGCCATATTTGGATTTTTGTGTAGATGTCTTTTCCTCAGCAATAAAATCTCTCCAAAAAAATTTAATATCGTCAGGAACATTTATGCATTGCTGAGCAAGATGTAAGCGCATTTCATTTGGTCGACCTCTATCCCATGTAATATCGTACTACTAACAACTAGCCTTATAATGTCTCTGTCCTAAACTAGTGCCTTTATTAACATATTTTCAAATATTGCCTTGTTTTTTACCACTAGTATGTTTACGTTTTTTATTAAGAGATTGACTTAATTCATTTGTTTTACTAAATTCTTGTTCATTTTCACTAAGTATATTAGAAGTATCTTCTAAAAAACTCGTATTAGTATTACTAGTGCTAGTGCTTGTAAAATAATGAAGATCCGAACTTTGTGAAGTCATTTTTTAAATTTTATAAAAAAAAAATAGACTTTATTACAAAAAAATTAACTTTCGTCGAGTCTAAGAAGATATTTATTTTTTTTTCTTTTTTTTTTTTCGGTGTTAAGGTGAGGTCATTGCCTCATATCTTTATTAGATATTTGATTAGAATATTTGCTTTATATGGCTACATATCTATCTAAGAATACAAGCTTTGGACAATTATCCATGACCTAAACCTACCAGAG